ATCACTGACTGTATATAAAGACCATCACTGACTGTATATAAAGACACTGACTGTATATAAAGAGGATCACTGACTGTATATAAACATGATTATTCTAATGCACCCACCCCTGGTCTCTTCCCCCCTCCAGGTCGTGCTCCCCCCTCAGTCCTCCCCCCTGGACCAGATGTCACTGTTGAAAACCAACCACAGACCTCAGTCCCCACCCCCTCCCCCCTGTCTGGCCTCCAGTCTTTCTCTGTGACCCCCCGTCCCACCCCCCTCGTCCCGGGCTCTGGTTTCCTGTCTCAGAAGACGACGTGCACCTTTAAAATCCTTCCTTCCAACTCCAACAAGGAACCAATCTTTATCAGCTGTTCTAAACTCCCAACCCTGCCCCCTACCCCGGTGGTGACGACTCCCAGCCCCTTAACCCTTCTAAAGCGCACCCGTCAACCCCCTGCCAACTTGTTGAACCTGGTCTCCCTCAAAACCTCTGAAGGTCAGGGGGCGGAGCTACGGGGGAAAACAGTGACGGTGTCAGTGGACTCTGTGATTGCAGGTGGGCTGTCGGCCTCCCAGAAACCCACCACTTCCCTGACCCCACCCCCTCCTTCAGGGTCAGAGGTCACACCTTTATCCCTATCACACCCCCTTGCTGAGCCTGAGCTGGCCTCTGACCTTGTGGACCTGGACATAATCTGCGTGGACGATGAGATGGGGCTTGTTACCACAGGGACGCAGTTGACTGAGGGGGTGGACCTGGCAGGGTCTTCAAGCGAAGAGACAGAAAACTCGTCAGACTTCGGAGATGAGTCGTGCAGCGAAGAAGAGAAGGAGACAACAATGAACCAGGTAAGAGAAGGTAGATGTTAAAATCATACATAAAGAACAGTTTGAGAACCTGGAGCACAGCGGTCGTCCTTTCGCTTGTGGACGCCTGTGTTTTTAACAAGCAAATTAAGAAAAATAGAATAAGGGGAAACGAGTAAAATTATTTTATTTGAAGAGAAAAAGTTTCTCAGGTTTCTGATCCTGATCTGAGTCTGTTGATATTCTGTGATCCTGTGTGAGGCTCAGATGGAGATGAAATAGTTAGATGAAAAGCTCATTATAGAGGCGACATCATGCGATTCAGTGAAATGTTTCTCATCAGGAGGCTTCTTCGTTTGTTCCAAACGTCTTGTTAGTCAAGAACTGATTCAGATCTCGTGGACCCGAGTTATTTATCTGGTTCCCACATATTATTATCTCATGATCACATAATATATTTATTCCCAAATGTCACCAGAGAGCCTCCATAATCCTTTCAATTTCTCTATGTAAAGAAATATAAGACATGTCGATAGAACTCATTCCATCCATGTTATGACGGACAACATGAACAGCCAATGAGAATGAAAATAGCGCTGCGGCGAACCAGTCATGTGTCTGGAATAGAGTTACACCCACATCAGGTCAGGTTTACGCACAGAGCGGAGGAGGAGGAGCAGCACATGTGTTAATGTTTGGGCTCCTGCAGAGAAGACGACTTCACTATCACTGTCATTGTTCACCGCTGCTTCAGGACAGACGCTCATTAAAGGTCCTGTGTCTCTGTCAGAGTCTCTACACTTTAAGAATAAACACCATCACTGATCACAAGGACACGTACAGGACTGATGTTTACTTTGTGTTTGTTTGATTCTCTAGAGTTTATGAGACATGTTTAAACCTGCTGCACAAGACGTAACGTGACACAGTCAGGACATCAGGGTTGATAGAAGTAGGATGCACCATAGCTCAGTTGCGTGTGTGTGTGTGCGTGTACGCAGCGACATGTTCACAACATGTTGGAGAGGAGGCGTCGAGTGAAGATGCTGCAGATGTTTCGAGGTCTGAGGAGGGAGGTGGGACTGAGAGACGACAGAACTTCTAAAATCTCCACACTGAACAAGGTCAGAATCGACTTCCTCATTGTTTCCTGTTCTCTCACGAGTTTACACTGCAAACTTTTATCTGGCCTGAATGTTCAGTTTAACTCAAAGATTAAATGATTAGAATTTAATGGTCAAATGTCACTGTGGCCTCTCAAAACCCTTTTTCTGCCTCCTGAACACATTATCTTAAGAACGTCTTGACAGAATCCTTTCAAAGTCAAAGTTTAAAGTTTACTTTGTGCGATTTATTTTGACCAGGGCTATGGTGTGTGTTTTTTGTAATATTTGCAGAAAAGTCTGGTGTGTACTTTTTTCTGTATCTGGGGTGCCACTTTTTTGTAGCAGTTTTTCCTCTATTGAGAAACTGGGATGCCAATCAGAGTCCAGTGTGAGAAAAAATATTATTGATGAAAAGGAATCAGTCAACCCACAAAAAACAGTATCAATAAACCAATAACAAGTACATGATGTAGTTCCTCTATTAAATTGCATATACTAAGAAGCAGCAAGCACAGCAAAGCATGAGTGTTTGCGAGTTGGTGCATGAACAGGTTTGTGCCTAATTAAATTTAAAACACTGTCTGATGTAGTTTATCTCCTGATCCACTAGAGGGTGCTCACTGTCAGCTTGACCTATTTTCAGTAAAGTAAAGCCCAATTCATGCTTCTGCGTTGAAGCTGCGCCGTAGGTGCCCACGTTAGCTACCCACCGGGCCGAGAATTCAGTGTTGTGCATAGGTGTGTTGCTACCAAGCAGATCAGTCATAGCTCATAGTTCTGCGTCGCCTGCAATGCCTAGTTACATTTTTGGGGAAGTGCACATCAGGGCTCTACTTAGTGTACACGTCTACAAGGCTACGCAGAAGCATGAATTAGGCTTAAGTTAGTATTGTTACGTTGTTTTGCTATGGAAATCGGCCAAGCTTTCACCTTGCGCGGAACAATCACAACACAAATTTATTCCAATATATTTAAACAAATGTGTCATGTCAGATCCTTTTGATTGATGAGAGTTGTCTGTGCTGCAGGCGGAGCAGGTGATCCAGGAGCTGAGGTTGTCAGAAGCACATCTGAAAGAGAAGAAGAGCAGGCTGATGAAGAGGAGGGACCTCCTCCTCTCCATCATCGCTCCAACAGGTACGAATGTTAGCATGGTAACATGATAATTAACCAAAGTTGTGACTCGGTGAAGGGTTAAACAGCTGAGTGGTGGTCCGACCACAGTAACAGAAAATGAACACCTCTGTCAGAAGAAACTCGATTTTCAGCCAAACAGAACCAACCTGACCCGTAGGAGCAAAGTGCTCACAGTACCACGGTCTGCATATTACATTTTACACCTTAAAGGGATAGTTCACCCACAAATGAAAATTCCCTCAATCTTCTTCTCACCACTATGATAGAGGGGGGGTGAAGTGTTTGAGTCCACAAAAACACTTCTGGACTTTCAGGGGTAAACAGAGTCGCAGCAGAATCCAACACACCTGAATTAAATGTGGACCGATTCTTCAGACGGAAAAAAACACGTCTCCATCCTGCTCCTATGATGTCCTCAAGTGTCCATAAGCACCGACATTCAAACTACTCTCGGCGTCATTTCCACCAAGTTTTTATTCTGAATGTTCTCTGATATCCTCCTCGACGTCACATACACACGGACAACACCACACAAGCTAGCATCGCTAGTTCTGGTCACATCGGTAACGGACATATAAACTGAATGTGAAGCTGGTGAACTATCCCTTTAATAACAACGTCTTTAGTTTTTATTGTTCTTCTTTTCTATCTCTTTTCTTTAGTATCTGACTTTTTTTCAAACCTCATTGTGCGTGTGTGTTCTAATATCAAAATACAGTAGAAATAGAATCAGTGTTATGATATATAATAGATAATATGAAAATCAGTCTACTTCCTTCTTTACAGTATATTTGTGTTTTATTTTCTCCAGCTGAGCTTGAAGCCACCAGGGTTTCACCTGAAAGACTAGAAGTGTCCCACACAGTGACGATACCTGTAAATGATGTGATGGAGACACAGATGAGATTATTTTCAGATCCACTCGTTAACGACAGTTTTACTATTATAACAATCCAGATGTTTCACCAGATGTTCTTCCTGCGTTTAGCAGCTGTAACTGTTTCTTTTTTTCTTCTCTGATTTTTATTAATCAACAGTTTGATCCTCAGCTCTGCTGTCAGTCAAACTGTCCATGTCTGTGATTGGTCATATGGAGTAAAGCCCGCCCCTTTATGTTAACACACTCAGAACTTGATGAGTTAACTTAACGAGTTGATAACCAGCATCATGTGACCACCGAGCCTGACTTCGTAATCCAGGCCCCTGGTGTGAACAAGTGTAACAAGTGTGTTTGTGGCTGCAGGTAAACAAACACAGACAGTCCTGAAGAAGCTGGAAGACCAGGAGAGACACCCAGCAGCCAATCAGTTGCGAGTACCAGTAGGGGGTGGGGCCTCTGAGCCTGATCTCTCTACAGAAGACACGAGTAATGACGACATCATAATCATCTCGTCCAACGTACAGCCGCAGACTCTACAAGTTCCTCCCACCACTGCCCCGCCCTCTACAAAACCAGCCCCGACACCCGTCCCGACACCAGCCCCGACACCGGCCCCGACACCGGCCCCGACACCGGCCCCGACACCGGCCCCGTCCCCGACACCGGCGCCGACACCTGCCCCGACACCGGCCCCGACACCGGCCCCAGCCCCGACACCTGCACCGACACCGGCCCCGACACCTGCCCCGACACCTGCCCCGACACCGGCCCCGACACCCGTCCACATGTCTCAGATGGTCCTGCAGATGTCCCAGTCCCACCTGGCTCCTCCTGCTGTATCCCATAGCGCACCTGTGGTCCGAGACCGGCCAAAGACGATGCCGAACATCTTGTCTCGCAGTAAAAGACCAGTTTCATCATCATCATCTTTGCTCACAACTACAGAGGGTGAGTTTGACTGATTTATTGATGGATTACTGATAGATCAGGTGACTCGTTAACTCATTAACTCACCATTGACACGGCTGAAATAAATGTAATTTAACTTAAAGCATTGAGCTTTTTAAATGTACTTTATTCAAACCAGTTTATGTAATGAGCAGGTGAGTTCGTTTGTTAATCAGCTGTAACCTTCAACCCTCAAGTAACCTTCCTTAAAGTTCTTTAGAATCGCGATGAACAGATTTGTGTTGGCACTGACTGAGCTTCGCCTTAATGGACAAACACGGGACAGAGAGTAAATGTTAAGTTTGTGTTGGTGAAGCTTCATCTGTTCAGGCGCTGGTACCAGCTGACGTTCTGTCTCTGATTGGTGCAGCGTTGCCAGGACAACAGATACTGTCCCTGAGTCCGTTGATGAAGGGACCGATGGTTCTGCAGACGACAGCTGCAACACCAGGTACCGACGGAGCGCTGTGACCTTGTTCTGTGCTTCAACATTCTTTTATTTTGAAAGTAAGATGTGTCCTCTTCCTGTCTGTAGGCGTGGCCTCTGTCACCCTCAACATCCCCGGTCTGACCAATCAGCAGGTCCATCTCAGCTCACTGCCCCGCCCCCCAACTGGTAAGATCTAATTTAACAGGTTACTCAAGAGGAAGATTTTATATTTTTTTCATAACAGGAATTGAAACTTTATAAAACAGTATCCTGCACAATATAACTTTATCTCAATTATAATTAATGATCATATTTTGAGCCTGACCGTCTTGTTTTTTCTCTTACCTGGTTCTCCCTCAGAATCCAGAACCTTCTCAGAGGCTTCAAACCTGCTGCACCCGCCTCAACCTCCCCTGGTGGTCTCTGCTGGACCAGATCTCCCCTCAGACCAGATCATAGACCAGGCCCCATCCTCCACCCTGTGCCCAGAACTGAGTGTTGATTGTGAGGCAGAGGTTGGGGCTGAGGGGCCTCTGGGTGCGGGGCCTGAGACCCGAGCCAACGATGACACTGAGAGTCTGACGTCCCTCAATGAGATCGTCTCAGTCAACCAGCGGACCGTCTCCACAGAGACGACAGCAGGGGTCTCGTATGAGGTGGACCACGCAGTGGGTGGGGCCAAGGAGCAGGGCCACACTCAAAGCTTGGAGCTGGACTGTGACAACAGTGTTTCCGTGGAGACAGAGCATGGAGGGCTCCAGGGACAAACGGAGATGACGCAGACTGGACCGACCAATAGGAACACTACAAGTGGTGCCCTGGCACCACCCCCTCTGCTGCAAATGAAGGTGGGCGGGTCTAAGGTGGCAGACTCTGCCAGCAGTGACAGAGCAACAGCGGGAGTGGGGAGGGGGGAGGGAGCGATGGCCTGGAGGCCGATGCCGCGGCTGGTTCCTCTGGGCCTAAAAGGAAACCCGCCCAGCTGATGATGGCGCTGCTCCATCAGTTTCCAGTTGGTCATCGGTCGGAGAACCATCTCTGATTGGCTCTGGCTGTTTTTGTTGTTTCAAATACTAACGTCCTCAAAAACAAACATGACACATCTGAAAAACTGCAAATGTCAGAGGTCGACCTTCAGTGTGTCACATGCTCACCATCAAAAGTATGTGGACAGGTGTCTGATCTGATCTCAGGTGAGTCCTCGATGTTTCACACCCGAACTCTGAAGATCACTTGAGACAGGTGTGAACAGCACCCGACCCGACCACCACCTCAAAGATCATGAAAATTCTCTGTATCTAGTTTTTTCAAAAACTGGAAGTTTTCAAAATAAAAGTTCACATTGTTCATCTCAGAACCAAAACCACCACACGATACTAAAATTTTAATGTTGTAAACTTTTTTTAATTTCCTTCTTTTCAAGGGTTTACGGGTTTAGTTGTCTAACTTTCATCAAAAAGTCATCCAGCAAGTGCACTGCAAAAAATATATATCAAAAGTTTCTCTGAAAATATCAGTTTTGTTCTCTAAGTTTCATCTTTTTGTGAAATTCTACTCTTAAATAATTTGTCCATGTTATTGTGTATATGGACAAACTTTTTTTTGACAAGACATATTAAAACCTGAGTGAAGAAAACAAATGAACATACATTTTCATGTGCAGGAAAGTTACTTCCTGTTTCAAGAATTGAAAGACGAGCGTGTGGACAGCAAGTCTCCCCTGGACTTACCTGCTCAGTGTTGGACCGACGATGAGATGAAGATGCAGCTGCATTTTCTTGTTGAATTAAATGATGTTTGTACAGTTTGCTTTTCTTACATTTGTATTTTTGTACTTGTGAAAGAAACTTTCTGATGTTAATATCATTTGTCTGATCACAGACACGTCGCTGTTCAAGGCTAATATAAATAAAGTTTGAATATGGACTGGAATATGCATATGGATATTTAAACAGTCTTAAAAAGCAGCTGACGCTGCTCAGGCCTTGATTTCTCCATTAATGACAACAATTAGGAATTTGAACTTGAACCAACTGAAATCTAATATTCTTGGATTCAAACATTTTTATTCAAACACGAAGAAAAGTTCATGTATGTACTAATACACATTTCACAGCAGCCACTTTGACATGAAATCGTGAACAACAGTAAACTCTAGTGTTGTCATCACATGAAGTAAAGTTCTATTCAGATAGAGCCTTACTTCATGTGTCTTCAGTTTGTGGACAGCGTTGAACACGTCTTTGTTTAGGTCCTCAGATAAACTACAGCTGTGGTTGGTAACTGTCACAATCAACAAAGATCATTTGAATAATCTGATTATTAGTATTTGATATGAACTTCTACCTGAGTCAGGCTCGTTTATCTCTCATGTTACTTTTTACGTCAGAAATCAATAAATTCAAATATATAACAGGATATAAACAGAGCTTTCAGAAGGTTTTATTTTTGAAAGCCCCACCGGAAGTGTCGGTGGTTGTGACGCTAGCTTGTCTGCTCGTGTCGGATCCAAAGCGTCTCGTTCTTCGCTGCGGCGGAGAAATACGATGCGGAACAGCGGCGGAATTGGGGCCCGTGATCCGGATCAATCCAGGACCAGGGCCAGGTCAGCTGAACCTTCCGGCCCGGCTCGGCTCGGCTCTCGGGCGGAATGACCGCAGCAGCAGCGCCGGTGGAGGAGAGAGACTCGAGCCGCTGAGAGGAGCCGCTAGCAGCGCAGCTAGCAGCGCAGCTAACGGCGCGATGGCCGCGGACGGAAGCGGAACAATCCGCAGCCGCATCAAGAACCTGCTGCGATCCCCGTCAATCAAACTGAGGAGGAGGAGCCACACTGCGCGACACAAAGAGGACCTCAGCGACAAGGTGCGCGTGCACACACACACACACACACACACACACACACACACACACACACACA